GGCGGGCTTAGCAGAGAATATTGTGCATAAGACGATTATACTGTAATTCCTCATTAAATATGCTATGATGTGTTCTCATGAGAGGTTTTGTCCAAAGGCAGAAGATGTTAATGCATAATTGCACAACTGATGTATAGCCAAAAATGATTATGGATGCTGTTTAACAAATGAATGTTGCATTGCCTCCAAGTAAAAGAATTCATCTTGTGATATTTTCTCCTCTGGCTGTAATCTGTTACGCCATACTAAAACAGAGCAGTGTTTTCATTTAGTGGAAAATGACTGATGTATAGTTGTAGCCTGAGTACATCGCAGACAGGGAGGATAAACTCATTTAGAGAGAAATGAAGTCATGCTCTCTCTGAAGCAGGCAAGGTTAAGACCCCTACTCCGTGCCCGAATGTGGACACTTGGAAGTCACAGCTTGAGTCAAAATCTAATAAGTGATCCTTCAAGTAAAACTGTGGAGCTGCAGGAGAAGTGGCTCAAGGACAGTGGGAGCTTAGATGGGCTTCTCAGAACCCACGATGATGGGACTTCATTGTTAAAATGTCATAGAGTAGGTTGGTAAGTGTAATGGTATGTGTTGTCATGTCTGTCTGCTTTTATGGTCTTTTCCCTAGGGAATGGATGGATGTGCTCAGCCCTCCTATTATGCCTCCCAGCCAGCAGAGAAGGTCAGGCAACACATGGAACAATGGGGGAAGTCTAGTCAGAGGTACAGAAACCTTCATATTAGTCCCTTTGCCTGCAGACTGCCTTTTTGTATGTGAAAGTCAGGAAGACAGAAAACAATCCAGTGCTGTAGCATTAACACTAATGGCATAAATGGATACAGCTAATGGAAACATTCACTGATGTCAGAGCTTGCAGAAATGTTAGGGTACAGAAATCTACCAAAGACTACACACAACATGGTGGGAAAGCAGGTGAAACTGTATCTAATTAAGAATAAAAAAAAAAAATAAGAGTGAAGGTCTGTGTCCTCCACATTATGCCAAAGGTCACAAGAGACAGGCTCATTACAGGTCTGTACCCCCTAGACACATGGACAAGGTTAATTGATGAAACCTTTCCAGTTTACAACATCATTTTTAAAGCTCTTACACAATGTGTCTTATAATTAGTTTTCATTATTGTTGCCCGAGTTCTGATAAGATAAAATGTTCGTCCCGGAGCATTCCATAACCTTTTTAGTGTTTAACTGCCCGTCAATTTAACAGCTAAATTCTCATGCTTTAAAGTCGTGGGGATTACAGGGAATCTCTTTACAGCTTCATAATGTGGTACTGGGCCTGGGTGTCTTGGGTCTTGATTGATGAAGAAAAAAATGGCAGCGGCAGAAAACTTAAATCCACCTGAGTCTGAAGGTCACCCCACCATCCAGACTTCTCATTTTATTCCAGTAACAGCTGACAGAGTAGGCTCTTATTCATATCTGCCAGGGCTATTCCGGTGTGCATTAAAAACATGATGTCTTACACTTATACATTTTATTTGTGCAAATTCCATTATGGATCGCTGTTGTACTGTTAGTTATGTACTTTTTGAACAGCTACACCCAGTGCCGCTTAATGGTTCTCTGGCTTTATTGCAGGAGGAGATGAGTCAGTGAATGAAGAGGAGAACGAGGATGGGTATTTGAATCTGCTCTATGATCCTTGCCTGAACTGCTATTTTGATCCAAAGACAGGAAAGTACTATGAACTGGCATAACTTGAAGTCAATTAGAGCCAAAAATAATAAATCAAATTGAAAGTGGATGAATGGCTTCAGGATTTATCAGCTGAGCTTATTGATCGGTATTGAATTCCCAATTCAGAAAAAAATCACTTTCTGTCTATCCGTTCGTTTGTGGAAGCTAACAGGAGCTTTGTGTCACCATATGTAGTGTCATGTAAGTCTGTAAGAGCCTGGGAATGTAATACAGATACTTGCTTTTTGAAAGTTCTTGCTTATTCATTCGCACATGTGATGCTAAAAAGAGTGTTCATGAAGCTTGGCTGGCAAACTCTTATCGGGCTTCCTGAAAGAACGTACTGAATCTGTGATATTTCAGTTTTACATGTTACAATACAGATAATTTATGGTGTCACAAAATCATAAAACCATGCTGTGCGTATGTGTAATGTGAATTAAATTAAATTTGAAATAGCAGTGGTTTGAATTTCTTGTGTTTATCTGGATTTAAAATGAGTAATTTGACAGAATTGGGACAAGGATAAAGGAAGATGATTGTTTTTTAATATACTCAATGCATGTAAAAATCTTCAAAATTAGGATCTCATGGCCTGCAACTGTAACTGGGAGTACAACAGGCGGGTTGCTCATGAGGCTGGCAAGTCTTTTCGTCGGTCTCGCCAAATCACTCATCACACCTGATGAGCGCCTGATACCAGCTTGAATCATTATTTTCAGCCTGATATAAACTGTTGCCTAACCATGAAGAAAAAAATGGCAGAAAAGAAAATCACATCCTGGGAAATGCTTTATTATTTGTAGAAATTCAGGAAACAATAGCAGAGTGACAAATGTTCAATTTCACAATGTATTGTTTCCAATTAACAGTTACAAGCTGCCAAAACAAGACCTTGGACAGAGAAAAATCAACATTTCTGAATTTTAATGCGCTTATGACTCACAAAACTGGTCCCAGGAACTGTGTGACAGCCTCGAAAAGGCACTGAATGTTACATAAGGAACTGTCTCGCATTTCAAGCATGATCTCAGTGCTTTATATAGTACAGGACCCAATAAAAAACATGCCAAAGGATCATTAGTTAAAACTGACTTCCTCTCTAAAGTAATCAGACACATACGTCACCATTTGTAAGTACTATCACACTTTAAGAGCGGATCGTTTGCAGCAAAAACGACAGGTCTGAAAATAAGTTTTAAATAGGCCATCGGAAGGTCACGTGACACATAACTTTATGTCACATGGTGTGCTTTAACAGGGGCGGGGAAACAGGTGAAAAAAGCAGAAGCAGGAAGTAAACAGCTGTAGATCTTACGACTATACTCGGACCAAAAAAAACAAAAAAGGTTTAAATGCTTTTAAATCGCTTCAGTTTGGATCCTTGCAGGCTATAATGTTCACAGTTCGAGGCTGCATAATGAAAATAAGTTAGCCGGGCTTTAAAGGTAACAAGGATGTCTGAACAACAGGTATGTAAGGCCGCATGAGTAATGAGATCCGATAAACTCGAGGTAAAAGTTAAATTAGTTTACAAACACGGTCCCTAATTTATGGCGATGTAACCATTTATACCCATAGTGCAGTGGACTTACTTTAATTTAGATGGAGATTAAGTTTTCGTATCTCTGGTCTCAGCTTGTTGACTTGTAGTGAAATAGCCTGAAGCACTTCTTGGAAGTCTAAAAGCACAAGCTGATATATGACTGAGACTGATGCATTTTGGAGGAACAGTACTCCATTTCCTAAAGCATATTTATACCCCTCTGAATTCACTCAGTGTTACTGTGCACCTCGTCATCTTTGTGTTGCAGACGTTGCTGTTTTTCAAATTTATCTGGAACCACAGATGGGTTAGGATTCCTGTTCCAGTGTGTGTGTATTACTGCATATCTACACTTACGTTTTATTATGTAGACATTGCCAGTACTGACTTGAACCCCATTTTTGCCTTCACCGCTGCTTTAATTCTTTGTTGCATAGATTCAACAAAGAGCTGGAACCGTTCCTCAGAGATTGTAGTTCTTATTGAAAAGATATCATCACAGAGTTGCTGCACATCTATGATTCATCCTATTCTACCACATCCCAAAGATGCTTGTTGGATTGTGATCTGGTCACTGTCATGAATTTGAGATAATTTGAGCTTTGTGACATGTTGCATTATCCTGCTGGAAGCAGCCATAAGAACATTGGTACACTTTAGTCATAAAGGAAGGGGCATGGTCAGCAACAACTGTGCCGAGAAAGTATCCCCCACATCATTACAACAGCACCGCCACCAGCCTGAACCGTTGATGCAAGGCGGGATGGAGCCGTGCTTTCATGTTGTTTACATCAAATACTGATCTGAATGTTGCTGCAGAAATCAAGACTCCTCAGAGCAGGCATTATTTTTCAGATCTCCTATTGTTCATTTTTGGGTAACCTGTGAAAATTGTAGCTTCGGTTTCCTGTTCTTAGCTGACAGGAGTGGTACCTGGCTCTTCTGCATAACGTAACAAGTGGTTATTTGAGTTACTGCTGCCTTTCTAACAGCTCGAAGCAGTCTGGCCATTCTCCTCTGACCTCTGGCATCAACAAGACATTTTCTCCCAGAGAACTGCCACTCACTGGATATGTTCTCTTTTTCAGACCATTTTCTGTAAACTCTAGAGATGGTGTAGGAAAATCCCAGTAGGTGAAGTTTGTGAAATACTCAGACCGGCCCATCTGGCACCAACAACCACGCCACATTCAAAGTCGCTTAAATCATCTTCTCTGTTCTAATGCTTAGTTTGCACTTCAATACCTTTATCATGTCTCCATGTGTAAATGCTGCCAGTAGTAAACAAAAGAGAAAAAATGAGCTTCGTAACCATCAAACCCCACCCATCTCTGTTTGGTTGATTGTGATTGTGATTTTGTTTGGCACCACCAAACAAAATTGTTCGTGTTCAATGTCACATTTTGGTCACGCTCCATCTGAATTATTGCTACAGAGATTAATTTTGTCATACTTTGTTCCAAATCATGTAATGGACAGGCCCGACTTAAAGATATTATAGTGATCTGCAGTACGATGTGACGAAATGTCATCCGGATTGCATCAGTTTCTCCTCTTGGCCAGAGACTTGCAGCCCTGCTGCTGAGCTTTTGGGATGTACCCCACCACTATGATTTATAATGCACCGCTGTTCAGCTGTCATATCTCCTGCTGTATTTCCTTTTTATCTTTGCCACACTTCATGAACTGAGCTGTTAGGTTTATGGGCTCTTTAACTACCCCACTGTTAGATCTTATTGGATTCATTTGTCTTTTTAGGCCGGGTTAAGGCTTCACCCCGGGATTATTGCATCAGTGATCTTGGTGTCTGCGGTGGCGGTAGCTGCTGCCGTATTGATCATCCGAAAATACTGCTTCCCAGTCAAGTAATGAAAATTTATTAATGAGCCTTAACGTGTTTATTTTAAACACTTAGATTGCAGTAAAAACAACTCACCCTGGTTTTGCCACATAACTTTCTTATCAGTGAGGCAACTTACAGATACTCAGTGCTGAGACAGATGGAGGAGGGGCATTCAGCAGCGGCAGAGGAGGATGGCGACAGGAGGTCGCGCACAGTGGGAGAGGATTCAGACGAGGTCAGTGCATCGTGGCTTCTCTGATTGTAGCTTTCGCTGTCATCTCTCTTCCAGTACAAGCCAGCACCACTGTATCCTTCCTAATCACATCACAAGTCAATTTCAACTTCCTTTTCTCTCCCCTTACAGGATCTTTTGGAATAAATCTCCAACTGGGAAGCTGCTGGACTGACTGCAATGGAGTTTATTCTATAAACTGTGTGGTGTACGAATGAAATGGAGGATTGTTTTCGTAGCGGGGATAAAAAAGCGAGCCACGAATGTGAAAACCAAAAATATACAATTACAGATAAAATAAGTGAGGAAATAGTATTCAGTATTTGCAGTTATATCTTAAACTGTAATTCTGAGATTAAATGTGATTTCTATTTGTGCAGCTTCATACTCTTAGATGTGAAATAATGACCTTCATTTGAATCATCACTGACATTTTCTTTTCTTTTTTTCCCTTTTTTACACATAACACATGACATTTGATGTCTTTGGCTACTACCCAACCCTCTGATGGGTGGAGGTTGTTCCCGCAGGCACAGCTCAGGGCTTAAAAAAAGTGTTCTTTTTTTCCAGCATAAAACTCATTTAATCCTTATTTCTCACAATCAATATCCTGCTAAAATATGCTACAATAAAACAACCAACAAAACATTCAGTGTTAGCTGTGGTAGATAAGAGTCGTAATGAATTGTCAACAAAATTGAATGTGTTATTTGGCGATACGGTCAGTGTATTAAAGCAGCAATTCATGCAGCCTTTTTAAATTATTCTTTTATTTTGGAAAGCCTGATAACTACTGAGCTATCTGCACATCTTTCAGCTGCATTTATTTTGTTGTTGTTTTTTGGACGAATGGAGCTCTGAGACCTATGCGTTTGATAAGACTTGTGGGTATGTGATTTGGATGCTAATGCTGCTGATCATATGGAGAGTCAACACTCCACTATTTACTCCATTATTTCCACTATTTAACTTTAAATTTAAATTTATACCTTAAATATAAAATCTAAAGCGGAACATTATTTCCTGTATTATTTACTGGCAGTGCAATAAATGTCAGTGGGACATTGAAAGGGCAGACGCACTCACATTCGCTCAATGTTTGTCTGTCTGCCACAGAACATGTAAATGTGCAATGCTATGAATTAAGCGGTTGTTACAAAGTCGCACATGGAGATGTGATGTTTCGCACACCCCAAATGATGTGCAAAGGTAGTCAAAATAGGACTTCAGCTGTCTGCCAGTTGGGCAGTTTCCCTTTGAAAGGATTTGCTGTTTCATCGTTCCACTTAAAGGCAATTTGCAGTTTAGTCCACTGGGTCTTTAATGTAGCGCTGGGCTGAATGATGTACCCTGATCTCTCTGACAGCCATACTTGTCACAGATAGAAAAAAAGCCACTTACCTGGTTGGGAGCTGCAAGTGAACATTCTGACGTGAACGTCAGTGTCACAGCTCAAACTAACGACTGGTTCATTTTAGGTTATTCGTGTGATCAACAAATCAGACACCGAGACCCGATTCTTGTGTTTTCCAATCATCTTTTGCTGTGTAGTTACTGATGTTGATGTGGATCAGTATTTATAAAACCTACTGTATCTTTTTATTTATTTTGTGGACATCTGGGATCTAAATATGCTGGTTATTAAACATATTAATCATGTGGACTGGTTAAGTGTGCTCTGTATGTACTCATTTTCTCCCCAGTTTGTTACCTTGATGATTTGTGTCCTTATATAAAGGGAATGTTTTATTAAATGTAGCTCTGGAATAAAAAATCCAGGAGCTATGGAGTCAAATGTTGAAAAATATTGCCGGCGTTCATTTGATTGCTGTCTGCAGAATGTCGATAATCATACAAAAGGAAAGCGATTCCCTCACTGTGTGCTTTGTGTTACCGCTGATCAGTAAACGGCAGTACACAAATACCACCTGCTGGTCACCTTTAGTAATACACCATCGTCACCTGAAATTGGTGTGAACATAATGTGAAATCCTTGATACTAAATAGTTTTGTGCTTTGTTTGTAATTCTTCAGCCTTTCAAGGTTTTAAACAATCTTAAAAGTTCTGATAGGAATTCAGTTGGTGAGTTCAAACAAAGCAGAAACATAACAGCACTCTTCAACATCCCAGGCTCCCTGTGTGATACCTTCTGTCTTATTCAAGGGCGTTAAGGCAAGACGATTTTAATCCAAAAGCCATGCTTTGTACAAGGGAGTCAAAATCCATTTATTGGAGTTTAGTTGATGATTCTGTGGTAAAATCATGTAAAGTTAAGTAGTAAATCTGTTAAACTTCATTTGGCTACAAATATGGAAAAATAATTGGTAATTTTTCAGCTCAACAAGTCTGCTTGGTTGTTTTGCTGAATCTGTAGAAGTGCTTCACACTGTTGTCATAAGAAGAAAACGAAACACAAATTTAGAAGAAAAGAGTACATCCCTTCATACTGTTTTGAGGAATCTATGCCGGGAAGATCTGATGCTGATGCTGTCCTGGAGGAAAACAACACCTTTGCAACATTTTAGATAAATTGGTACAATAGCTTGATGAGGGGGAAACAGCTCAAGCAGAAAAGAGCTCAACAAAATAAAACAAAATTGAGTAGCTAGAAAAAAACTAAAGGCAATAAAATAAAATGGCTCGATGAGTGTAAGAGCTCAATAAAATTAAACAAAAAATAAAAACAGATCACTACGTGTAATAGGAAATAAACGGCGAGATAAAAGTGTAGCAAACAGTGCAGTTTGAAATAAAGCCCATAAAATGAGACTATAGTATTATCTCCATGATAGATGTGCCGGTTGTTGTTATTGGACGAGGTTGTAAAGATCTGTATCCGTCCACGTGGCAGCAGAGCGAAATCAGTCTGTTAGAGAAAATGATCATTGTGTTCATCTGTGCGCTCGATTTGCCAGAATATGATACAAGGAGATGCTGTCTTTGTTTACGAGCTCTCCAGGCAGGAAAGGCTTGAGCTCAGCTACTGCTGAAGGATCAGCAGGGCAGATGCTTTGTGACAGACAGGCTTGACCTCCTCCTTGGGGATTACCACGTCTTTCACCATCTAAATGTGACTAATGGCTTATTCCTGTGCCAACAACGCGTTTGTCTTAAATGCCTTAAAAAACACCAGCTCTATTGCCCTGTCGTTGTGTTTTTTATTCTAGATAATTGACTTCTCGTTCTCCGCCGTGGTCAGCTTTCCAGGTTTTGTGAGTTACTTTCCCATTTGATTCTGCTATGTTTCTTTTCAGCAACGCTGTCTTTGCCCTTTCCCATAGTTATTTTTTAGTTCTGAGTAAAATCTTTTGATTTTTTTTCTTTTCTAGTTTCTAGCATGTTTTTTTTTTCTGTGTATGAGCTGCTTTATGCAGATCCTTCCACACATCATATGGGTTTTTACCCAAATTTACATACAAATGGAAAACTCTGACAGCTGGTACAATGATTCTTTAAATCCCCTTTTCTCTTACTCATCCCATTTGAAATATGAGGCTTTTGGGCCCTCCTTGGTGTTTTTTCTCTCTCTAGGTTTCAGAGGCTTGTTTATACACCTGCAACACACAATCGGCTGTTTGCAAGCCTTGTTGTTGACTACAAATAGTATCTGTTACTTGTGGACACCTTCCTTTGTTTGACATTGTGAAAAGGAGAAACTTAATCATCTAGTTTTCAGTAGCTATATACATGTATCACAGAAAGAAGGGTTTTTCCCACAAGTGATGGGTTATAGGAATTATCAGGATGCGTTTTCACAGATGAGATGACACCAAAGCTCTGCTAGCATGTCTTTCTTTTCTCAGTTCTTCGGGTGAGTTTGAAAGGTCTCAACTCTTCCCCTCAGGACTGAAAAAAAAGCTCTCTGATCTGTTGCAGATATGAAATATCGAGGTAAGCTTTTCCTTCATTTCGCAACAGCTGCTTTTAGTTGTGTGACTGCAGATTTGATCTACTATCTTTTTACTGTTGACAGCTGTTTTGCCCCTTGCTGCTGTAATTATTGTCCTCCTAATCACATGGGGAATATCCATCAATTCATCCGTAGCACAGGAGAGAGAAAGGAATACTCTCGGTGAGATGTTTTGCTTATTAAATCCGGAGCTCCAGCTTTTTAGTGACAGTTTATGCCTGCTGTCTCCACCATACTGTCTCATTTCTTTCAACTTAGGGTTTTATAACGCAGATCAAGTCAAAGCGAATCTCAAACGATGTCTTTTTAGCAACATTGTACAAAGTATTTATTTCTCACATGTCATTATCTGAGTTTAAATATGGTAAAATCACAGTATTCCTGCAGTAAAATCTTTTCTGTGCCTTTTTAGCTCCACCTACGTCTGTGCCAAAGTGCAGCCTCTCAAGAGTGTGTCCACCCAACCATATTGCTTTACGTATCAGGAGCGGCGCCGCTGATATTGTCGGGCCAACAGTCTGTTTTGATGGCAAAATGTATGTATTCATTTGGTAACACCTGAATTAACAGAGTACTTTAAAAAAAAAAAAACAAGATTCTGCAGTGAAACTGAACCCTGTCAGTGCTTCAACAGCATAATGAGTCATGCACTGAATAACGTGGGACCAGGGCTAAACATTGCAGTGATAAATGGTGAGTATAATACTCAGACCTCTCATAAACATGCATAAACATTGAAAAAATGAACTGGTAAAATAGTCTTTTAAAGATTCGTAATAACCAATAATAGTAGCTTAATAATAATACCATATTTCTAACTTGGAAATAGCTGGTCTGGAGTCTTAGTGTTTTTATGTGCCATGCAAAAGTCTTGCACATTCTCTTATTTCTTTATATCTTCCAGCGAATCAAACATTCTTTAAACTTTTAAAAGTGCTCTTGAGCAATAGTTTTCCAGGATTTCTGAAGATTTTTCAAAGTTTATCATTTATCAACAGTCTAGACTTTGTACCTGAGCATTTTCAGAGGAATGTTTGTTTGTTAAGCACCGACCTATGATTCATTCAAGCATAAAAAAAGGCACCTAACATAACAGACAACTTAGCGAGGAAACAATTTTAAATGATAACTTTGGGGACTTTGTTACTAGCAGCCTGTTGCAAAAAAATCAGTCAATAATGAAAAAACACCCACAAAAAAACCTGTATTTTTGCATCAGCAAAGTCATTAGCAAAACACTATTAGTAGAAACTGTGGCATATCTTGGCATGGTGTGCAGCGTGTGCTTTAAGGGTTTTTGGACAAGTGGAGGAGAAAGGAAGAAAGAGATTTTATAAGAGATAAAAATCTGACACAGGACCTGATAGATGCATCTACGCCTTCATCAGAAAGATCTGAATGTGTGGCTGTGGAGATGAATCCAAATTTGAAATATGTGATTCAAATCATTGTCAGTAAGTACAGAGGAGGTCAGGAGAGAGGTACAATAGTGAATGCCAACAGCCATTTTTAAAACACGACGGAGGCTCTGTTTTGATTTGGAGCTGCGTTTCGGTCAATGGCGTTGGGGACATCATGTCAAGATTTGTGGAATTCTTAACCCAGAAAAAAAGCGATCTACTGCGCAATACTGTCTGAAAAGTGTCCCACAGTGACAATGATCCCAAACACACTGGCGATACATAAAAAGCATACCTGGATAGAAAAACACTATCAGTCATGGACTGGCCATCTGTTTTTTTTTCCACAGAACTCAACACATCACTGCATCTATTTCCATTCTTCCTCGCAAAATAGGAAGAATTGCATTGTGACTCTAGATTTTGTGCAGAACTGCATGCATAATATTCTTCTGTCTGTTATTATTATAAATATTTTGATCATATGCAATTTTTTAATCATAGGTGAAACTGGAGTTGTAGAAAAATCTGTCTGTCTTAACATGAAAACAGGAGGTAAGCGCTTTTCTTTCTTTAAATCTTCTAATCAAGTTTTTGATTTAATCTTGTAAGGGAGCTTTGACTTTCTTTTTTTTTTTTCAATTTTATACTCTGACAAAAGACCCAAAAGACATCCTTGCACACCTGAAGAAGATAAAACGTGGAATGATCGTTTTGGTGGCCTCCTTTGATGATGTCACACAAAAGTAAGTCCATATCTAAGTTATTCAACATTTAAAACAAATTTAATGTCACAAAATGTGACCCGCTCTACTACTTTGTGGCAGAATGACAAATGAAATGAGGGAGATATTCAGTGAAATGGGAAGCACTTTGATCAGGTCTGTGAAGCGCAGAGACAGCTGGGTGTTTGCTGGAAGAGCAGGCACAAAAATCAAAAGCCTCTTTGAGAAGGTTAGTGAACCTGTTAAGTGCAGTTTCATTTGTTCTATTTGTGTCAGAAAAGACCATCTATTTTAAAATCTGCTGCCTGGAAGGGGAAAAATGATAAAAACAACCGTTCTCTTCTCCTCTGTTCATCTGTCAGCAAGCTGTTAATGATGAAAAAAACAACATTTATGGAGGATGGCCAGAGATGGTGGAGGTGGGCGGCTGTTTCCCAAGAGTCTTCAGCGACTGACTGACTGACTGACTTACATAAACATTAATTAACATGAACTGTAAAAAGTGACTGCATTTTTTTTAATGGCAAAACATACCTGTCTATAATTTCAGCAAAAGCACATATAAATATTTTCCCTACATCACATGGTAGAGATCACCTGTGGATCATCGGCGAGGAAAGATGATTACGTGACTTTGAAGATGGCATGGTTGTTGGTCTATTTCAGAAACTGCTGATCTACTGGGATTTTCCCACACAACCATCTCTAGGGTTTCCAGAGAATGCTCCAAAAAAGAAAAATTATGAATGGCCAAACTGCTTTGAGGTGATAGGAGCTCAAATAACCATCCATTATAGTCAAGATATGCACAAAAATACACAGTGCATTGAATCCAGAAACAGATGGGCTGCAGCAGCAGAAGAAGACCACACCAGCTGCTGTCAACTAAGACCTGGAAACTGAAGCTGCAGTTTGCTTATGTAATACTATGTATGAGTATCAATTTCTGCTGAAACCTGCAGATGGGAGCGTGAGAATTTGACCTAAATAACATGAAAGCATGGGTCCATCCTGTCTTGTTTCAGTGGCTCAGGCTACTGCTGGTGTAATGGTGTTTATTTTGTTGTCACACTTTGGGCTCCTTAAACACCACAGCCCACCTAAGAATTGTCGACCGTGTCCATCCCTTTATGACCGCGGTGCCTCCATCTTCTGATGGCTGCTTCCAGCAGAATAACGCACCATGTCACAAAGCTCAGAACTCACTGTCATGGTTTTTTGACCTTGACAGTAAGTTCACTGTACTATAATGGCCTGCCAGTCCAATCCTTCAAGGATTAGTATTTCTTCCCCCGTTGATATTCCTTGATATTTTTATCCTAATGAAAGCTCCAAGTATAGATTAGTGATTGTGGGCTGTATAGTAAATGTTCAAATAGTAGAAGTCAAGTTACTGAGTACTGTGCACATATCTCTTACTAATGGCCTTGAAACACTTTTGTTCCTTTACAACAAAGCTGCTTTACCACTAGACTAATTACTTTGGTCCAGTGGTTCAAAGCATACAGCGACGGCTCCTGTAAGGGGGTCACAAGTTTAAATGTGACAGATTAGAAAATGATTAATGGGACAGAGAAGAAGTAGTTCTGTTCTCTTGTAATTTTATAGACTTTTCCCCGAGCCTTGTGTGGTTAATTTAAAATCTTAAATCTTTTTAGCTAAATCCAACCAGCCATCCATTCATCCATTTAGCCGGCCTATGGCAGTGCTTTAAAATAAACAGTCCAATAAAATGCGTGTATACAAATTTACTTAAATAAAGCACTTAATGAGTAGGTATAGAGTTAAATGTTTTGGCTTTTTTTTGTTGAACACCTTTAGTCTGCTCAACAGGAGCTTTTCTCGGTAGAGGCTTCCCTCTGGTCCAAACACAGGGCACTTTCCTCCCTCTGTGGCATTCTTGGCTGCTGGAGCAGAGAGAGAGGGGGTAACCTCAAATTATTGCTGAAACCCCGTAAAGTGTGAACCAAACGGAATCTGTGCAAGCACCAAATCTGGACTCACTCTGAAGACATGGGAGTCACTCATGGGAAGAAGGTAAGTTTGTCGTTATCGTCCTAATTTTCATTTAAAGTACTTTGGGAGCATCAGGAGGTGTGCGCGCGTGCATGTGTGTGTGTGTGTGTTTGTGTGTAAGTGGTATTTTCAGAATTCAAATGTTGTAAGTGACACAACCTGTCACTTACAATACTGTAAGTTATTTATATTTACCAAAGTATAACTTTACTGCTATCCTTAAATTGGTTTTCCTTTTGCTTTTAAAATAAAGTTCCGTCTGTAATACTCGATATATACTTTGCTATTACCTGGTTATAACTTTGTTTTGCTTAGTTATTACCTCGTCACTGTACTTTGGTATCATTGTGTTATTACTGAGCTTGACATGAAGTGCTCACAGCTTTTGTCCTACAGTACCATTTTTCCTGTGGCAGATTTTTCTCTTACTGACATCTCTCGTTTTTGTTACCCATTGCTCAAAGGCAGTGAATGCTTAAACAAATATTGGTTTTTATATCCAACTGAAAAAATGCACTCTGAAAAATGCACTCTGAGAAGCTGCCCTTGGAGACTGTTTATCCTGTCATGTCCTATTAATTCTTCTCCCTACAATATCCACTGTGTGAGCTTTACAAAACAAGACCCCCCCCCCTCCCCTGAAAAAAACAGTGGCTAGCAGCAATTTGTCATTAAAATGTATTCATTCCTCATCTAGATTCCCTCTCATTCTGACAATTTACTGTCATCTTGTATTTTTTCCATTTATTTGGATATTGTTGCTGGAATTTGATCACATTGAGCATTCAAATTCTCTTTTTTTTTGCCTGTTTAAATGTAGCTCAAATGTCACTATGGCAAGCTGGAAAGCTCCGAAGTAGCAGACAGTTTTCAAACAAAAAAGGTTTTATGCTACCATGCATGCTTTTCCTGCATATTTATGAAATACTTCAGTAAGCAACAAAAACAGTTCAGAGCTGAAAGAACTGTTTATTCAGCTGTCCAGACTGATTCACAGAGGATAATGATTCTTGTCCCAGCTATTAATTCTGCTTAAATTCCAGCAAGCAAATAACTCAGTGGGAATTAACTGTGTTTTGTTTGATCCTGTCATTAATGAGGTGGCAGCCTTCCACCTCAACAGTAAGGGTTCTCGCTTCACTGGACATGTGTAAGGAGCTGACACTTCATTTGTCTGTCAGCATCATAATGCAGCTTTGTGTTTGTGCTATTTCCAATAAGATGCAGTGTTGACTCGACTTGGAGATTTCTATTTGTTTCCTTTTCCCTGTGCTGCTTTTATTTTTGCATGTACGTATCTATAAAACAGCAATATTTGTCTGGGGGATGTTGGTATCTCTAGGATGTATTATTTCCTTTCCCCCCCCCCACCTTTTTCTGTTGACAGAGAGATCTTCAGCATTTTCCAGGTAGAGATGAGACACAGTTTCATTTGTATGGTGAGGAAATATCAGAGTGATGTTGTATATCCTGTCTAGTTGAAATACTGTTGTAATATATAGATTATAAATTTGTTGTTTTAACAGTAAAACATTTTTACCTCATTAAAGCTTGTTGTAAATGTGTCTGGCAAACCTTAGAGTGAGTTTGGTATGTAAAACTGAATCTTACAAATCTGAGGCAAAATTCCACCCAGAAATCATCTTGATAGGAAAACATATTTATGTAAACTGTTTGTTCCCTTTAGCCTCCATGATGCAGACTCATCAAACCAAACTTGAAGGCCGATTTTCAGAGCTTCAGGCTTTTCCATCCCAAATGCAGAGTGAGGAGGAGAGCAGTAATCTAATCAGACCCCTAAAAGCTACTAGTGCGATAACTGCCCTGGAGAGCCACCGGGAGCTGCATAAGGAACTGCAGATGACCCACAAGAGGTTGGGCAGAGAGATTAAAGGTCAGAAATGCTCATACTACAGTGTCATTGCGTGCATAAACCATTAAGTGTGTCTGTGTGCCTGAAAGGAAGAGAGTGTCTCAAGAAGGAAAGACTGAACTCCAGCGAGTTCTGGAAAAAAGGAAATGGGAACAAAGATTGAAAGCGAGCAGGGATCAAGACGAGGCAAAGAAGAAGACATCAGAGCTACACCAAGAGCTGCTGAAAAGACAACAGAGGCTTGAAAATGTGAGCACAGGACACACAGCATTTTTTCTTTTATACATTTACTCATGAATATTCTTGTTACACATACACACACACAAGCATGTCTGCTTTGCTATCCTCGTGGGGACATCCCATTGACATAATGCTCTCCCTAGCTGCCACTTACCCTAACCCTAACCATCAAAAATGAATGCCTAAACCTAACCCTTAGCCTAAAGCTAAACATAACCTAATTGTAACCCTGACACTAAAACCACATTTTGAGTCTCAAA